AGGCGATCAAGCCCAACGGCAGGCATTTAGCATTGACCATGAATAAGAAAAATATGAATTTATTTGACCTCAAGAACGGCGAACCACATAATGTGTATGATTTAACAAGCATTTCCTTGGCAACGAACTTTACAACCATGATAAAAAGAAAGTAGTTTCACTTCAAATTTTGTCTTCAGCCGACCCCAAGTTTAGTACATTATTGTATACACACACAGTGACCCAAATATAAACTGGAACGCGACATTTTAGCAGGTTTTGGCTATTTTTATTTTTGTATATTTAATGTTTATTGTTTTTTATGAAAGTATTGCCGATTACTTAACAAACACCATAAAAATCTAAATTACATACTATGTGCAAAAACTATGAAAATTCTGCAAAATTTCACCAACTTTTTTAACTTTTTGGTCAGCATCTTTAGAAAAAATTTTCGTATATGCGGTTTTGTAACCCATTAGATTTTTGTATAATGAAGTTCAAATTTGAAGAAGTAAGACTTACCCATAATTTTCGGTTTTTTTTTGATGCCGGTGTTCCGCATATTTTTTTTTTTCATATAAAACAAATTGTCAAGTATACTTCGTAGGGAAAAAAATAAATCGAATTTAAAATTAACAATCTGATAGCTATATTTCGATGAAAATATCATAGTGCCAGCAAAAGTAAAGTGGCTGCATGTCATTACATGGAACTACCTTCCGTTTTGTATCATGGTTTAAAAATAAAAATAAATGAAGTTAAGGTGGCAATCAACTCTTGTTTGTAATGTAAATATTTTTAAAGTTTTTAATTACATGGTATATTATTTTTATAACATATTCGTTATTTAAAACTGGTAAGCTACTGTATATGTACATATATTTAGAGCTACATAATGTTTGCGAAAAATCAAACATCAAAAATTTCAATAGAAATAACAAAGAAAGAAGTTTATGATGGAGCTAAAAACCTACATACATACATATGCCTGCGTTCAACGAATTAGCACCAAAATTCAAAATGATTTTTTTTTGCAATTTATGTTTATTTATTTTCAATAATTTTCATTTAAAATATAATTCAATCTATATAGTCTAAGATCCGAATAAGGCACGACCTTCACCCATCTGTTTAATGGACGAAACGTATTTTGTATGAAATTTAACGTGTTAGGAAATATTTCGCGAGTAGGTTGGCAGAAAAAATCCTGGCCAGAATATTTTTAACTAAATATTCAAAAATAAATTTTTTAATTTTGCTATCGTTTGTTTAATGAACAAATTATATACCAATCGAAAGAATTAAGCTTATAGAATGTAAAAACGTTGTCTATTTTTTTCTTGGCCTACCTATCGGGTTGGCAGGTATGAATAGGTACATAATTAATAATAGTAATTTCCAATCATCTTTTTAATAAATTCCATAGGCTTTATGCTTTCGATTAGTATATATTTTACTTTTTCATTAAAGAAATGAGTGCAAGATTAGCAAAAAATAATAATTTTGGAATATTTTATTAAAAATATCGAGGCCAGGATATTTTTAGCCAATCCACTCGCGAAATGTTTCCTAACACGTTAAATTTCATACAAAATAGATTTCATCCTTGTAAACAGATAGGTGAAGGACGTGCCTTATTCGGAGCTTCTACTAATAACTGTTTCAAGTCGCTTAGATCACCGTTGATTTTTTAGATTTTTTTTATGGAGGGTGTTGCGCAGAAACTCCGCAACACCCTCCACAAAAAAGTCTAAAAAATTAACGACTTGAAATTTGCACTTTATTAGACTAAAATTGGATGGGCTACAAAATTGCATACCCGAAAATTTTGAAATGTTGATGGTAAATAAACATAAGGTGCTATCAATATAATATTGAATTTCGGTGCTAATTAGTTGACCGTAGGTGTAGTAAAGTTAATGAAATTGATAATTAGATTTATTACTTCAAAATATATAAGTACGATAATTTTAAAATGTTGGTCTTATTATATTCATACATTTCTAGTCACAAGGTATTGAATAAGACTACAATAACATATTTTTAATTGAATTTCTTAATTTTCGTTTGGTCATTTCGAACATGTGATTATAAATTTTTTTTTCTAATTTCTCGTCCCCCGTATAAAATTCGTTTGCCTAAATTTTTTAGTGTTACGGAGAGTAAAATTTGTATCTCTTTTTTTTTGTTTTTTGTTGTACAGCCTTGAGTGATTCATATTCTTCCTAAAAAACAGCGAACAAATATTTGCATATCATTTACGATGAGCTCAATTTAAAATTTTTCAGTTCGGATCGTCAGTAATTTTGCTTACTTCGTTAATTTATTCCACTTCTCAGAGAATAATATTAAACATTCACTGCTCGTACTGTTGCAGAAAAATTGTCTTCTAATTATTTGGGCAAAGCTGTTAAAGTGACAGTCCTACCTCGTAACGAAAATGAACGCAAACTATTTTCGTGCGAAATACATTTGTAATACAGATGTTCTTCCTCTTTTCATCTAAGGAAACCTAAATCCAAACCAGGGACGGTAATCATCATGAGTAAAATAATTTAAATACGCGTTTATTCATTATTTTATGACTTATTTTTTCGCACTAAAATAATAATAATAATAATTGATTTTTTTTTTGCTCAACGGAAATTATTGTTATTTGATTTTTATTTTTTTCGATCACAAATAATGATTATTTTATGATTTTTGTTTTTTTCGCTCAGAGATAATTATTATTGAGTTTTATTTTCCACTTAAAAATAATGATTATTTATAAAATTGAAAAGGCTATACAACTTACTGAAATTTCAAGAATTATTCCTTTAATTATGGTGTCGCTACCTCTGAAAAGGATACGGCGGAAATCGCGCTGGTATAGCTTTTAATATTTTTGAATGATCATTATTCTTGAGTGAAAAAATAAAACTCAATAATAATTATTATCTTTGAGCGAAATAATAAAAATCATAAAATAATCATTATTTTTGGTCGAATAAATAAAAATCAAGTAATAATAATTACTTTTGAGCGAAAAATTAGAACTCAAATATTAATTATTATTTTTAATCTTTGTTAGTTAAACTCGAAAAATAAAAATCATCGTAAATTACGGTGGGACGTACGAAAACAAATACGTGGGTATAGATAAAATTGATTTACGACGGTTACAACCTTTGATTTTTTTGGTTAATATTTAAAAAATAATGATTATTTTCCGTCCCTCGTCCAAACAGATTACCATATAATGCAATTTGCATGATTTTTCTGCTCGATAAAATTAGGCGTTAGAAAGTCTGGTAATTAATATGTAATATTGAGGCAATTCACAAGGTAAAGTTAGTGCAGTATTTTCTACGTTGTAAAGGTTTTCAACGCTGAATTTATGTATGTATTTTTAGAGGACTGGAAATTACAACAAAATATTCTTAATAGTGCTTGGCAGTATGACTTATAATACCTTGCGAACTCCCTAAAAATTACTTTAGCCATTAAAAAGTTTACAACGTACATCAGTACGACACTTACCCTTTGTGAATAGCCCTAATAATTATCGTACTAGCGATGTAAATACATAGTTTTAAGTGCCTGTATGAGTACTCGATATCTCGTTCATTGGGCTCACATACTTAAGTAGATTTAGCAAGCTATTGACAAAGAACGTAGATAACAAGAAGGGACAACACGATTTAATTGTCATCCAATTATTAAACGTATTTGGTCAAAAGAGAAGGCTCGCTCCTGTTACTTACACTCGCCACAATTATAACGTATTTTCCCTTCTTATTATCTTCATCCTTTGCTATTGATTTTCGTAATATGGCCAAATAACTGAGCAAAACCTCTTGTAAAACTCCTATTGCTTCAAATAAATCGAAAAGGCATAGACTTACAAATAATAGCACACAGAAAAAATAGGGGCCAAACAAATTATATCTATGTATGTATGTAAATAAAACAACACATTATAAAATATTGTTTTCTAACTTTATTGGAAATAAATTCTCATGTAATATTTTATAACATATACACTGCCGGAACAAAGTATTGGCACAGCAAATTTTTCGCAATATATGCAACAATTTTCATTCTAATATTTTTCCGCTAATTTCGTATAAAAATATGGTTCATTCTACAACAAACAACATAAAAATATAATTCCTAAACTTTGTGCAAAACTCGCGAAAATTCAGCAAGTTTTCATGAAAATTTTTGTACTTATTAATCAGATTTTTTAGAATTTTTTTGAGTATGCAGATTTGTAGCCTAATCAATTTTATTATAATAAAGTGCAAGTTTTAAGTAGCTAGGAATTACCGTTGATTTTTGGCAATTTTTTTCACGCAGTCTCTTCCATACAAAAAATTTTTTCGAAAATACTTTATATGGAAACAATGCAAAACACCTTCAACAAAAAAAAAAATTCTCAAAAATCCAAGCGATCTTTGACTAACTCCGAACTTGCATTTTTTTACTAGAATTTAATGGGCTGCAAAACTGCATACTCAAAAAAATTCTAAAATATCTGCACAAAGTTTAGGAATTATATTTTTATGTTTTTTGTTGTTGAATGAACCATATTTTTATACAAAATTGGCGGAAAAATATTAGAATGAAAATTGTTGCATATATTGTGAAAAATTTGCTGTGCCAATACTTTGTGCCGGCAGTGTATGTATGTATTAGACTTTGCAAATATATTTTAAGATAAACTTAGATATTAATCATAAACCTGTATATAAAATATAAGATTTATAAAGCTGTTAAATCTAGCTCTGAGAAAATGCGAAATGCCTAACCAGATCTAAAAGTGCATACTTCAGCAAAACAAAAATGCAAGAATAAAAATCTAGGTGAAACACAATACGTATTTATAATTTTAAATTAAGTTAGTAAATCACGGTAACATAACGAATGCTATTTGCATGCTTACATACATATGTATAAACTTTATAAGATGAAATCAAATATTAGCTTTCTTATATTTTTACACTTAATATTTATGCTATTACTTTTATGTGAGACATTCGCAAATTGTGTTAGATTTAAACCCCTTTGTATAAATGTATGTTAGGAGTCATAATTATAAGCGACATAATATGTGCATTATCGGGAGAACTTTTGCTTGAATACTTAAATCGTATCGCAATGCTGAAAAATAATGAAATCATTTAAGAAATACGTTGGATGCAGAAAGCGTTAATTTGAATAAAAACAAAGTGTCTTAAAAGAATATATAGATTTAAGTCCTATACACCGTATAATGAAATTTAAAATCAGATATTTTATTCTTAATTACATCATGTGTATATTACATTAAAAGATGTGTTTACATGTTTAAAAGAAAGATTACTATAGTAAATACAAATTTTACATATACAAGAGAATAGTGATTGTGCGAATAATTTTATATTTAAGTGCGTATGCTACTCTTTTTATTAGTAACTCAAGAAAAATGCAAAATAAATATATTATTTAAAATATCATCACATGAGAACTTTTTATTGATTGAAAACGAGAAAATAGTTTATAATTTTTGACACAAAAACCTTTCATACATTGCTAAAAGTTGTAACGAATTTCTCCTTAATGTTGCTATAAAATATACCAAAAGGTTAGTAGCATTCTTCAGAGACGGGCCTGTATACCTTGCTGTGCTACTCGTACAAAAATCTAAATTGTATGCAGAGCGTTTAATAATACAACAAAAAAAGGCCATACAACTCGTCTAAAAATCTCCCACCCTACAAGGATCGCCTGAAGCTTATAGATTTGCCGACGCTTCAGAGTCGTAGAGAGATGCTTGGTGTTCTTTTTTTAATTAAATTAATGAACGGGATGGTCAGTAGTCCCTTTTTACTGAGTGAGATAAATTTTTGTATTCCTACAAGACCCACGAGACATTTTAAACCTATTGTGTAGAGTATTTGTAAATCAAACTTTGAAATGCATGATGCTTTTCGGTGTTTATGCCAAGATTTTAACAAGCATTATGATTGCTTCGACACATCTGAATCGCTTTTTGTAATAAAGAAAACATTGC